AGGTCCTGCAGGTCTCGGCTCTGGTGGCCCCTGTTGCTGGTCCATGCTCGCTGCAAGTGCAGAGGTTGGAGTCAGTGCCCACACAGCAGAGATAGGGTGGATATCGACCTGGCTGGCTGGGAGTTGGCACATGCTTCTCCTGCCTTCTTCAACCATGCAATCCCCTCCATCACCCCCAGAACCCCAAAAAACCTCCTGCACCCCATGCATGATGCACCCTCACCCCTCTCCTCTCCTGGCACCCTCACCACACTGCACACCCCTTCCAAGAGATTGGGCAGCTGGGGTGCCCCAGCCTTTGTCCAGCACCTCTCCTCAGGGGGAATGCAGCCACCTCCCTGTGCAAGCGGCCTGGGATGCCAGGCTAGGCTGTGAGGCAGTGGCTGGGGCTGGGAGTGCTGCCGGGGGGGGCCCTTTCCCATGGCCCTTCCCTGGGAATGTTTTTCTTGCTTGCAGTGGGAGCCTGACCTTAGAAACTCCAAATCCATTAGCACAGGGTCCTCGGCTGCAGCCACCCCTCGGCCCTGCGCTGGCTCCCCAGCCTGTTGCCTGCACCGAACTGGGACATACAAGCCCAGAGCAGCCTGGGTGAGTGGGGTCTCGAGGGGCAGGACAGGCGGGCAGGTCCCATGGGTACATGGCAGGGTGTGGATCACCATGTCGGGCTCACTGTAGTCATTCTCCCCAACACCACTGCTCGGCGTCCACTGCTCTGACACACAGAGGGGAACTGGATCCCTGCCATGCATCATCCCAACAAAGCAGCAAGCACAGTCTCAGGGGAGTGATGTCCCCCAGGAGGTGCTGGGGTAAGGCCCTGTCTGCAGCCACATGTTCGCCTCCTTTCCCAGCGCCCTCCTGCGGTGCGGGGATGCTCCTGTGTCCCAATGTCCAAAGCCAGGATACCCTAGATGTGGATCCCAAATGGGCTTGTACCCTTCTTGGCCCATCTGCTGCATTCCCTGTCTCTTGGGATGGGACTGTCCTCTTGGAGACTAGTGACATTCTGCACTAGGGAGTTCCCCTATCCACTCTGTGACTTTGTCCTAGCATGTCCCAGTTGCTGCCATAGCAAAGCTGGGATGGGACATGCCTAGGAGAGCACTCCTGATGAAAAAAAGTGAAAGGACGTGGCTGGGCACCGCTGGGACAAGAAGAAAAAACGATTTCCTCCAGTCCTTTCAGCATCTCAGGGGATGGTGCCCAAGTCCCGATTGTTGCCTCTGATGCCACCCTGCACTGGCCACACTGTGGCAAGGGGCTGTGGTGGGCGCTGACAGACC